GAGAAGGCTGACCCAGCCCTTCAATATCTGTACACTTAAGCACGTAATCTCGGTGGTGGTACATAGTGCTTGACGTTATTACTGAATACTTATCTGGATACAGCAATTACATCAAGTGTATTTCAAAGCTGACATAGGGTTGATAAAGATTAATATGTAGATGTCAGAGTATATGCACCTGCTACAAGCAGTTTGCCCAAGATCTGATTAGTGCACAGACGAAAGCAACCGAATGCAGGTGCGCGCACCATCCATTTCTTATATAAGCACTAAAAAAGCCACAGCCTACATCATTATATATGACGTCCTTAGTATGATGCATTTTGTCATATTACACGCCTTTGGATATCTATTAATCAATCATAACTAATCATAGTCAAAAAACGGATGATATTTAATCATAGCAAGTGCAATAGTTGCAGCTGCTTCGATTCTGCTAGATTTTTCTGAGACCATGATACTGATGTATCTAATTACAGTGTGGTTTCTCGCTTTTGTAGCTTCTTTCATCTCTGAAATGGCATATGATATTATCAATGCAGCCATGTGGGAACAAACTACAGGTGGGAACTGCTGTATCCTGTATGCATATGAAAAGCAAAGACGAGACTAATAACGTTATATGGCCCATACCATATAGAATCACTGAGTCAAACTCCAGTGAGATTTCGCGAACTCAAGGAATGCACTGTTATATACGTAATCAACAAAGGCTCGTGCAAGTAGATAGAGTCACAAAGATCCTGCGTTAAAAATTGCTGGTAGGTCAAACCTCCTCCACAAATTACATAGTATTGTTGCTATTTAATATTGTCCCGTTGCTTAGTGAGACTTACTGTTACTAAGGGGACATGCCGTCGCTAAGAAAAATAAAAATGTTGGCCCGATGATTGTTGACTGATTTGTTTCGGCAATACGTCCGTTTCTGTTGACAAAGCATTAGCGTTGGGCATCAAAAACGATGTTACTATGCAAGGGAGCTCGTCGTAAAAGCATACAACACCAAGATACTTGCTGGTGACCTATATATAATTCTAACACAAAAACAGTCCATCATGTGGATATGAAAAAACCCTCTGTTTCCTTGCTTGAAGCATAAAGCCACCATAGTGCACAATTCCTTTTTTTAGCTGGCTACTGCGGCGGGTTTGCTAATGGTATACGCGTACGGTTTCTCACAGGTGTAGAAGTTCATCTTCAGCTTTTTCATAAAAAGGTTTTGCTTCCTATTGTCTACGTGAGACGAGATGACGATCATGGAAATCCGAGAAAAATAGGGCTCGATGTCCATTATATATATTATATCCCGAATAAGGCACTTTAAAACCCGGTTTGGGGCTATTTTACTAATATGTTTCTGCTGCAAGTTTTCAATATGAGCTCGAAACTGAGGACGGGCAAACTGGCAAAAGGAAAGAGTGTCGTCCTTGTTGTCTTGCAAAAATAATATAAAGAAAACGACTTGGAAGAAACTGTGAGAAATATTGAAGCTATGAGAAAGCGAGCATACATCTCGTCATCTGACTGTTTTATTTTACTTGTTGGGACTTTTCAAAAGGGCACACTTTAGTAAACGACTAGAATCTCAGGAAGGGATAGGGAGTACACATCTATTTGAAGTTTATTCTACAAATGGCTGTTAATACAACTTGTCTAAAGAGGAGCTCAAATATATAATATGCTGTTTCTCTCCAACTTCTTAATTATAGCGATAATGCATAAAAAGATGAGCTGTGGTTTCTGTTTTCTTCGTTTCAACTCGGTATAACAAACTAAAGATGGCACCAATGTAGACGTTACAGTTTTAAACAAATCGTACTAGTGCCTTTCCCCTAAACTGTAACTGAGTTCTTCTTGTTGCCAATTACCGGGAATTGTTAAGAACCAACCAATAATTAAAAATGAAAATGATAAATATAGTAGCAGTAACATAGCACGAAAGCATCTGTCATACGCACTTGGATGTGCTTGTACTCCTGCATGATGTTTTAGATATATCCTTGGCAAAAAGATCTGTGGTAAGATGTATAAAAAACACCATATGTGATAAGATTTCACATGGTAGGTTACACAGACCGAACATTTCCTGACATTCTAAGCTGGATATACACAGAAAATTTGCCTCTTACGGGATCCTTATTAAGACAAGTGACACAAAGATCAGCTTGGTCTTGCTTGCGTTGTCTTTTCATAAAGAAAAAGGACGATCATGGGTCTGTGCCAGAGAAAACAGATACTGGATATGATAATTTTTCTCTGTATATACGTATAATATACAACATGTTTATAATATAAATTTTTACGATAATTATAATAGATAAAAGCGTCAATACATTAAAGCAAGACAACAGCAGATAGAATGAGACCAACAACACCAGTGGCGATAGCTGGGCGAGTTAAAGCACTGCTGCTTTCTTTATCTTCATCAACAGATTGCGCAGAAACAGATTCATCGTTGCTGTTGCCCGACGAAGAGCTTGCTGCAGGAGATGCCGAAGCAGCAGATGCAGGCGATGAAACGGCGGCCGTGGCAGGGATCGACGACTGAGGAGCTGCCGAGGACGGGTTCGAAGTGGTAACTGCAATACCGTTCTCGGGACCACTGTAATCGCCAGGGATAATGTGTGCACATCCCTTCTCAGAGATGCCACGATTGCAATCCACCTTGCTGTGCTGTAGTTAATATGCACATTCAACAAAAGTTGATTAATTGATGTTAGTAAAAAGAGCCAGCACGATAAAGACGTATCCCACTTTGAATTAGCTTACACAGCAGCGAATACAATAAGTACGACCAGCAGGTTCAATCAGGTTGACAAAATGCTTCCAATTACCGGCGCAAACGGCTCCTTTGGGCATCACAATGTCATACTGTTATAGCGATTGAAACATAGAGATGTCATAGTTTAGAGAGAATAACCGTATTGTTATCAGATGAGCTTTAGCCGAGTTGCTTTTCTGATGGGAACAATAGGACGTACCTGACCACCTTCATCGGTAACATTGAGGTTAGCCTTTGCTGGGTCGATCTGGCCGGTAACTTGTACATAGTCATCGGTAGCAAGATAGTGTGCCGACTGAATAAATCCATCGGCCATTTGGCCAGCAGACTTTGCCAGGGGATTGTTGCCCAAACAAAATACGTTGGCGATATACTCGGTATCAGCAATGTTACGGTTCTCGGAGTCTGCAGGAGGCAAAAAGGTACAGAAATTACTGGCGTCCTGGACTTGCAAGGTGATGTAAGGATTTTCAGGAAGAGTGGTGGTGGTGTCGTCGGCGGCATGAGAGGAGGTGGCGGCTAGGGCTGCAAGGGCTGCAGCAACGAGATGGAAACGCATTATTTTTCTTTTACGGCGTCACGAGTGAATGAATGGGTGAAACTGTGCTTGAGGGGACTGAAGTAGTTAATTATTAAGTATTAGGAAGGAATAAGTGAGCGGATAGGGGGGGGGTATACAGGAAGAAAACAAAAAAAGAAGAAGAAGAGGAATGAGCGAGAGAAAAGAGATTGTCGGTTTCGATCGTTTTAAATTTTTCCTTTTCTCGCTCTTTCTTCAGGCCACTCTGCTTTAGGACACAGTTTGAGTGACATTGACCCAAAAACAGGCAATTCTTTTTTGCCGTTTCTGTCTCTTTGCGCGTGCTCTGGACATTCTGTTTCCACCCGTCATAAGGGCAGCAACAACAACCTCCGCTGAATGCTATCCGGGAAAAAAGGATCGCAGCTTAAAATTAAGACGGTAAGCATCGTAACAATAAAAGCAACAACAACAACAATCACCCTTCAACACCCCTGAGGTTGCCCGCCCTTCCTCCGATGCCCCCCTGCAGTTGGAAAACCCTAAATTTGTATTTGACATACCCAGCTTTTACATATATGAAAATGTACATTTCTCTACCGAGTTCGTGCCTCTAAAAGAAACAGATAACGAGGGGGCCTCAGGGGGATAGGGTGAATAGGGTGAATACATGGTATAGTGCCTGTTTACACGCCGCACAACACATATTGGTTTTGTATTATGCTATCGTTGAGCAATAGTCTTGAAAAAGAACTCACAAAAGTACGATGAGAATACACATTCTAGTAGGGCTGTACACATCGGCATGCATGAGCCTAACAGGACAACAATAAGCCCCAAATAGTAACAGTAAAAAAAGACAAAAATACTTACTCCGTGAAGTACTCAACTATCAACCTATTTCTCCAAGCAATACGTTCGATCGTCTTGTAAAGCCGTAGTAGGCAGTAAGCATCATGTTGCTTTGTTTTGAAACATTTAAAACGTGCCAATTCAAATCATATATCGCATGCTCCCCTGACAGATAGACGCCCCTATTCGGAGGATACAACTTTTCATGCATGTAATATGCTTTCTGATTGTACTCATTGTTAGCCATATGTGAGCTAGTACTTGTATCCTTCTAGACAGAAAATGTGTAAGAACAACAAGCAGCATCATATATGGACAAGCAATGGACCTATCTCTGCTGGCATATCGTAAATCTAACATCTCGTCGAACAGCTTTTTTATTATGATACGTTCTTCGATAATAGATGATGGTGTTGGATGTCGTCTTTTTAAAGCGAAACAAAATAATGAATTTTCAAAGTTGGATGCACTGTGGTCAGTTGCCGCTTGGCAAATTTTAAAAAGTGAACATCTCCATCGGCACGCCAGAGATCGCACTTCTGGTTGTATAATTAATGAATGGATCGCTCTGTCCACGGAACCACAATGACAAAAGCACAGTCCATGAATTTCTTTCAGAGAGAGGCTGGTCTCGTTTTCTGCAGCAAGCTGCTCCTCGATAAGCATTTATTATAATAGTCAATAGTTCAGCCCATGCTCAGGATAGTTACAAACACTTCTTCAAGAGAGTAGAAACGAAATTAATAAAATTAATTGTACACAAAGACAGAAGAAGATAAGTTTATTTATTGTTGCTTGCAAATGACCGGCTTGTATATGAATCCTTCGTTCCTCAAAGGAGAGGTTGCTCTCCCTTGGTCTCCTCAAGCCTCAGTTCCAAAGGAACCTACACCTCCCAATAACAAATCACTACAAATAGAAGAAGATGGGTGAGAGTAGTTTGTCAAGAGGGGAATTACGTGTATACTTACTTTGTGAGTGCACTGCGGTAAAGAACTTTACGGCATGTAGTGCGCTCACGGATAGGGCTCGCTGCAATAGCGACTCGTGCACTGCGTCACAAAGATCCTAATGAAAGTCGCAAATGTACGCCGAAAACAATAACGAATACTGATTCTGCACGTACACCCACTCGGACCCAAGTAGTAGAAGACAGCCCTCAAATAGAAGAAGATGGGTGAGAGTAGTTTGTCAAGGGGGGAATTACGTGTATACTTACTTTGTGAGTGCACTGCGGTAAAGAACTTTACGGCATGTAGTGCGCTCACGGATAGGGCTCGCTGCAATAGCGACTCGTGCACTGCGCCACAAAGATCCTAATGAAAGTCGCAAATGTACGCCGAAAACAATAACGAATACTGATTCTGCACGTACATCCACTCGGATCAAGTAGCAGAAGGCAACCCTTCAATAAAGAAGCTGAAAAGGGTATCGTTCAATGAAGTGGAAAAGGTGGAAAAGATCTTTCGACAGTGAGGAAGAAGAAAGAGAAAGGGAAATGCGCAGTCGAGTCCAGTTCTTTTGTAGGCGTCACAGTTTGACCTGTTTGACCATCCGATGTTGCACAAGGATCGCGAACAACGGATGACAATCTCACAAGGGCCATGCTTCACACCGATAACACCTGCACATTGTAGACGCTCCAGGCTCCATGCACACACTCGTCCCATCTCGCTACTTGGCGATCACGATGAGTTTCGTTCTTTTCTGTTCACTGAAGCTTGCCTCTTATCGGTGTACCATATGCATAAGGGGCAAGAGTCGAGTGGGAACATTTCCGAAAGTGTGTGTAACACCAAAAATCTCTTATGATTTCATGCATGAACGGTGCTTCGGAAAGTTTTTCCAGGGCACCAATTCAATAACATGGAAATCGCTACCAAGTTCACTCCAAGTAAGTTTGACTTCCAAAATCAAAATATGTCACAACGGCCGAGTCAAAGAAAGAAGTGGTAGTGACGGTCAAGGGACACAGCCGCAACAACCAGGATGTCGATGAACAGAAGGAGTAGAAAGAAGAGCCAGGGAGCGACAACCTGTCGATGTGACGTTAAAAGAAATTATAGAGCGCGTCGTCACCTGGCTGCTCTTGTCGGCATGAGTTGCTCCTTACATCCACTACTCGATATATTTAGCGCATGTAATTAGCAAGGATGGCTTTAGCTTTTGTTCTAAGTTTGAAAATAGCAGTCAGGGTATACAGGATGACTGGCAGCAGATATGTAGGCAGTAGCAGGGACGGCAGAGAAAAGGTTGTAACCTGATGCTTTTTGAAGCCTTCGAAAGCCTCGGAAAGCTTTCCAGAGCATTCAAAAATCTCAGAAAGCAAACATGAATTTTCGACGTAAGGCTACCAATGAACGTGCGTCAGACCTCCAACATCTGGTCTTTATCGTGAGCGGTCGAGTACCTGTACTGTACCAGCCAATGACCTTAACAAAGATGTCCTCGCTTTTCGCGCTCCATGAAAACCCTTCTTTGGTAAGGCTTATGAGTTTGCTTTATTGACAACCAATTGCTGTTGCCTGCGGTGTGAGTATTTCTGCTGCGGAGACATTTTGGTATAACGAATGGTATCGTAGCCTTTTTCCGCCTGAGGAATCCCTAAGTGCTAAACAACACTCGGCAAGGATTTTTGGTATCCTAATACCCCCCCTACTACTGAGCGTTAGATTTTGCAGTTGGTGGCATTCCGTACGTAGTAGTGGTATTAAAGGCGTCTCCTCGTTCATTTTTTGATTTATCCTGGGCGTCGTAAGATGTAAATTAATGTGGAAAGCACGGCAACAAGCTTTATGCATCTTAGACATGACATTCGGAATGATTTCTCGAGCGATGCATCTACTACTGGCCGCAACGAGCCCAAACCAGCGTGTATACACGATAACCCCTTGTATCCATCGGACACTCTAACCGTCTTTGTCAACAGTGAATGCATTAGTCAACACGTCACAACAGTTGGGAAGCGACGTTAGCGTCTAATAACCACATCCTTTGCCTCAGGTCTCCACCATAATTCTCGTAGGCCTGGTGATTTTTAAGTTTCTCAAACACACACACACACACACACAGTACACGCGTACGTAATAGCAGAAAAACGACGACGTATCTTTTGATTTTATACAGCGCAATGCTTTTTATTAAACTACATACTGCTACTACTACATACCGCTGCTGCTACCACTGCTACCGCTGTTACTGCCACTGCTGATGCCACTGATACCGCTGCTGCTACTGCTGCCACTGCTGCTGCTGCTGCTACTGCTACTGCTACTGCCACTGCTGCTATTGCTACTGCCACTGCTGCTACTGCCGCTACCACTGCTACTGCCAATGCCACTGCTACCACTGCTGCTACTGCCACTGCTGCTGCTGCTACTGTCACTGCTGCTACTGCCGCTACCACTGCTGCTGCCAATGATGCTACTGTCACTGCTGCCACTGCTACCACTGCTGCTACTGCTACCACTGCTGCTACTGCCACTGCTGCTGCTGCTACTGTCACTGCTGCCACTGCTACCACTGCTGCTACTGCCACTGCTTCTACTG